TGCACATCCTTCTAGTTGCTGTATGTGGGACGCGGCCTCAGCATGGCTGGAGAAGTGGTGCGTCGGTGCGCGCCCGGGATCCGAACCTGGGCCGCCAGCAGCAGAGCGCGCGCACTTAACCGCTAAGCCATGGGGCTGGCCCTATAGCTGTAAACTTCTTGCTAGAGCATTAGAGGCATGCCCCAATACACACATATAACCCCTCACAAAGGCTGGGAGACTGATTGGTTTAACATGTTTAAGGAAATCTCCATCCAATAACTGGCTACTAAGCTAAGTGAGCAAAGACTTGAGGGGAAACGCATGACAAAGAATGCAGGCAGTAAAATTAGCTCAGGAAAGCCAAAGAAAGTATAAGTTTGCAACAACGACAAAGAGGAACTACAAGAAATTCTGAGTGGTAGTTTTGGGGTAAATATGATTTCCAGAGTTGTCACAATATATTATTTAAATTTCCAGTTTTCATCAAAAAAAGCAAGACATGCAAAGAAACAGGAATGTATGGATCATATAAAGGAAAAAAATATTAGTACACTGCCCCTAAGGGAGCCTAGATTATGGACTTACTAGACAAAGACATTAAACTAGTTATTTTAAAATTATCAAAGAACTAAAAGAAACCATGTCTAAAGAGCTAAAGGAAAGAACTATAGAACTATGCCTCAGCAACTGAATGATTTATATCAAAAAACAGATGAAAAATGATAAAAAAGAACAAAAAGAAATTCTAGACTTAAAAGTAAAATAATTGAAATGAAAAATTCACTCAAGTGGCTCAATACTAGAACTGAGCAAGTGGACGAAACAATCAATGAAGTTGAAGATAGGTCATTGAGATTATTCAGTCTGAGGGCTGGAAAGAAAAAGAACAGAAGAATGAAAAGTCTCAGAGACCTGTGGGATAACCCCAAGCATAACAGCATATACATAATGAAAGTCCAAGAATAAAAGCATACAGAGATATTGATAAAAAGAATATTTGCAAAAATAATGACTAAAATTTCAAAATTTCATGAAAAACATTTATCTACACATCCAAGAAGTTCAACAAATGCCAAATGAGATAAACTTAAAGAGATAGACACCAAGATACATCATAATCAAACTGTGAAGGTCAAAGAAAAAGGGAACCTTGAAAACAACAAGAAGAAAACAATTCATTACCTAAACATTCTTCTCAATAAGATTCATAGCCAACATCTAGTCAAAAATCATGGAGGCCTGAAGGCAGTGGGATAACATATTCAATGTCCTAAAGAAAATAAAAAGCACTGACATTCCAGGATTTTATATCATGCGAAACCATCATTCAGAAATGAAGAAAATAAATATTCCCAGATAAACAAAAATTAAGAGAAGTAATTACTAGTAGACTGCCTTATAACAGGTACTGAATGAAAGGACACTAGAAAGTATCTGGAATCCACATCAATAAATAAAGAGCATTGGTAAAAATAACTAATGGGCAAACATAAAAGTCAATATAAATATATATTTTTGCTTTTAATTATTTTCTTATATGATTTAAAAAACAACAGCATAAACAATAAGTCAAAATCTATGTTAATGCCCTTATAATATATAAAGATGTACTTTGTATGATATTAACAGCACAAAGGAGGAGGAGAGGGAATGGAGCTATATAAAAGAAAACCTTTTTTTTTGAGATATGCTTCACATATTATAAAATTCAACATTTTAAAGTGCATAATCTAGTGGTTTTCAGTATGTTTACAAAGTCCTACAACTATCACTATCTAATTCCAGAACATTTTCTTCATTCCAAAAAGAAACCCAGGGCAGAGGATTCTGGGAAGACGAGGGAGTGGGAAGAATCAGAAGTCTGTCTTTTCGTCTAGACAATAATTGCACAGGCAGAATCTGTCTGATGTAACTATTTTGGAACTCTGGAGTCTGTTGAAGGCTTACAGCTTTCAGGGGAAGGCTTGGATGGTAAATTGCAGTTAATTTCAACCCTTGACACAGTAGCGGCTATCCGTCCCCACGCTCCTCAGCCCTGTGGCAGGCAGCTGGGCGCGTGTTCTTGAAGCAGCTTGCACACAGCTTGTGGGAGCCAGGATGGGAAACAATGACCTTACCCTCCAAATATCAGGATCTGTGCTCTGGTCACTGATTGCTCTTTCTGATCACCCAGGCGCAAAGAAGTGGTGGTCACTGTTTTGAACCTCTCCCCATTGTTGAAAGCTCCTCCTTCTCTGGTTAATGTCAGTTCCAGGGTGTTTTAAAGGGAGAGATGTCTCCCTGCCTTCATTTTTCTCTTTTTCCCTTTTAGGGGACAGATACCAAAGAACAGAATATTCAAAATCAGCCGCATATACCAGGGAAATTAGAAAGTCCCCATGCACACCCAGAGGAAGGAACAGGCTCAGAAAAGACCTGGGATGACTTAAGTTTACACCTCAAGCTGATCCTTGGCACAGAGACAACCTATAACAACAACAACAAAAAACAATAACAACAGCAACAAAATCAAAAAGAAGAACCAAAAGTCAGTAAACCAAAAGGAGATCCACAATTCAGCAAGCCTGGGGAAGAGG